CCTTTCTCTTGTTAAACCCCACTCATCCTTGGGTCTTCCTCAAATGCTACCTCCTCATGGAAACCATGTCTTAAAAAGCTCCTGCAGCATCCAGTTCTTGGCAAACACAATTCTCATCATGTCCTGTAATTATACATTTATATTATATTACATTGTTATCAGTGTAGGTTGTCACTGAGGCCTGTAAGTTCTCTCAGGGCGAAGACTGGGTCTGTGTGGCTCCATGCTTTGCCCCAAGCTCCTAGTTTAAAGCCAGGTCCATGACAGGCTTTCAGTAAATGTTTGTTGACTGACTAAATGATTGAATGATGTGTCATGAATCAAAGATTAGGATTATTCCAATTCCGTTCTCCAACGGGTGAATTAATTAATTAATGAAGGGGGGAGTCCAAGGGCCAAGACTCCCCTGGACCACTTTCAAACCCCCCAGAATCACCAGCAGAGCTCAGCCCAACCTCCCTGGCCACCCATGGCTCCAGACCAAATTGCAGGGTGGGGAAGGGGGTTACCGTAGTCCTTGGGGAGGGGGGCAGGTGCCGAGGGGTGCACAACAGGCTTCTGCCGGCGCTCCTGGGTGGGGCTGGGGGCCTCGGGGACCAGCTCATCCTCCTCCTCTTCTTCTTCCTCCCCCCGGAGTGGAGGGGCCATCGGAGCGGGATCTGTCTTAGTCATGGTCTTCAGTGGCCCTCCGGGGGGCGGGTGTAGAGTTTGGGGGCGGCTTTCAGGCAAATCCTGGAGACAGCGGTCAGTTATAGAGAGCGCCCCACAGGGTCCAGCGTTGTGAGCCCCCAGAAGCTCCCAGAAGCTCCAAGGCCCTCAGTGGCTCCCACGCCCCCAGCTCTGGATTTTGGGCAATCATAGAGACGACCATTACCCCTCAGAGGACCCTGGTATGCGGGCCCAGCGCCTAGCACTTCCCCCAGGTCCAGCCCCCCATTCTTCTCCTCCCACGTCAGGCCCCTCGGTCTAGGCCGCCCCCTCCCCTGGTTTGTTTATCTCGGGATGCAGGATGCTTCGCCCCTCCCCTTCTCCGCGGGCCTCCCCTCTACCCATCTTACCTCGGGCGGATGGGGCTGGAGATCAAAGCTGAGACTGGGGAGACTGGAGTAATGGGGTGTCAGTGTCGGGGGAAGTGATGGGGGAGAAGAGGGAGACAGAAGGGGACGCGGCCCAGACGCCGACAGGGGATGGGGGTGGAGAGGGAGGGGCGCTGACGGCGCATGCGCAATGTTACCCCCCCCCCACCAGGCGCGGGGGCGGAAATACTGGGAGGCTCCTCGTTTTGATGAAAAGACTTAAGGCAGCATTGAGAAAGGGATAGGCGCGCAGGATGGAGAAAGAAGAGATGGCCACGAAAAAAGATGTGAGACATCAAAACAGAGAGAGATGAAACAGAGACAAGGGCAAAAGGAGAGGGATGGGAAAGCAAGCACAGTTCTTTTTTGGGCATACGCCTGGGATATAGCCTTCCCGCAGGCCCGCAAACCAGGCCAGTTAGGGCAGGGGTCTTAGTGTGGTGGTGATTATGAGTATTTTCTCGCTCTCTGAGGTCTCAGACCTAACTCCTTCTCTATGCTTGCCGCATATAAAGGGTGTCTCAGAGGGATGATTTTGTAGACTCCTTTCATCCTCTTTGGTCATCAGTCATGTCGTTATCATCACAGAGTGCTCAAGAGCACTTACCAGGCTCCGAGAGGTTAAGCCACTTGCCCAAGGGCATGCAGCAAATAGGTGATGGAGCTGACTTGAAACCAGACAGCCTGGCTGTAGACTCTGGGCTTTTAATCACCATGCTATATGGCTATAGAAATGTGTAGGGTACAAAGCTGCCAATGAACCCCTCCAACCCTCTCCAAACCTGTATGTCCCCCAAGAAGACCTGGAGCCAGCCCAGGGTCCAGGCCTTACTGGTTCCATCAACCCAGTTTGGCCTGCATGGCTGTGGGCTGCAATGCCCACAACCCCAGCCCAAAGATGACTGGGTGACTTTGCCTTCCACCCTTCATCCTTCTAATGATCAGGGACAGCAATTCCATTTCCAAAATAGTCCCAGAATTTAACCCCTCACCTCCTTTCCCCCCACCCAGGCCCTCATCCTGGTCCTTCCTTCATCCTTTCACACCTAGACTATGGCAGCAGCCTCTTCCCTGTTCTCCCTCCTCCTCCCTTACCCCACAAACTTGCTCCCTATAATGCAGCCACCGGACATAACACATCCCACATCAGGGCCCTCCTTGACTCAGAGACATCTGCTTGCTGCACCTCATTCTAGATAAAAAACCCCAATGTTCTCAACTGCAGCCCACAAGGCCCTGGGTGAACTTTCCTCCATCGTCTCTCCAGCCTCTCCTCTCACTCTCCCCTGGATCCACTGCACTACACTGGCTTCCTTGCTCCTCCTCAGTGCAGGACTTTTGCACTGGCTCTTCCTTCTGCCCAGAACGCTCCTTCCCCAGATACTCAGTTCCCCCTCTCCCCTTGTTTAGGATTTTACTTACTGGTGCCTTTTCAGGGAGACCTTCTCTGCTTTATCTAAAATGGCACCCCTACACACACACACACACACACACACACACACACACACACACACACACTACTTTCCCTGCTTGTTTTTTTAAGATTATTTATTTGACAGAAAGAGACAGAATACAAGCAGGGGAAGTGGGAGAGGGAGAAGCAAGCTTCCTGCTAAGCAGGGAGCCTGATGTGGGACTTGATGCCAGGACCCTAGGATCATGACCTGAGCCGAAGGCAGACACTTTACGACTGAGCCACCCAGGGGCCTCACCCTGCTTCAGTTTCTGCCATAGCAACTCTGCCTTCCTCCAGCCGACACCCTGGATGTTGGGCATTTCCAGGGGCTGTTCTCCCTGGAGCATCCAGCCCTTATGCCTTCCACGCCAGGTGCTCTCATCAAAGTGTCTGTTCAAACACTGTGTTCTTAGAGAGCCCTCTTCATCCATCCATCTGCCACCCCCACCCCATTACATTTTCATTTGGTCTTTACAGCACTTATCATCATCTGAAATTACCTTGTTTATTAGTTCATTAGTTTGTCTTCCACTCAAGCAGAACAGGAGCACCACGCGGGCAGGATTTTATTGGCTGTGTTCACTGCTGTATACCCAGCTCAGCACCATACTTGGCAAAGGGTATTAGGGGCTCTTCAGAACTCAATAAAATTCTCCCCAAATAAACAATCCTTTTTCTGCTCTGGACTGTTTTACTGGCTGCAAAGGTTCAAGCTGGGGGCAGCAGGGACCTGGCACCAAGGAAAATAAGGATTGATGGGCCTTGGGCCCAAGTCAGCCCCAAGGTTCAAGGGGTCCATAGAAGGAGGTGCTTGGAGCCAGGCTCTTGAGGGAGGTGCTACAATGGCGCAGTCGTAGTGGTGGGGCTAGACAGGCCCATGTATGTGGAGTCTCTCTTCCTGTTTTCTGTCATCTGTCCCACAACATTATCTGTCCTGGAGCTCTGGCTTGGCATCCAGTGTGGGAGATGCAGGACTCTGGGCAATGACCACAGCTTTGTCGGCCACTCCACAGAGGATGGGATTCCTCGGGTCCAGCGAGCTGGGCAATCCCAGACAAAGAAGTAATAGAGATGAAGAACACAGGGCAGAGAGGGGAGGGAAGGAGAGAGGGAAGAGAGGAGGGGAGAAAAAATGGTGAGGAATAGGGAGGCCAAGGTGGGAGGGGGATGTCAAGGAAGAGAGAGAGATCTTGGCAGAGACACTTGTGGGGAGATAAGGGAAGAGATGTGAAGCCAGAGAGACATTCGTTGGGGAAATAAAGAAGTATGGGTAGGGGCATCCAGGTGGCTCAGTCGTTAAGGTCATGATCCCAGCCAGGGTCCTGAGATAGAGCCCCGCACCGGGCTCCCTGCTCAGCAGAGGGCCTGCTTCTCCCTCTCCCTGTGCTGCTCCCCTGCTTATTCGTGTTCACTCTCTGTCTCTTTGTCAAATAAATAAATAAATAAATAACTCTTAAAAAAAAAAGTATGGGGAAACAGGAAAATGTGGGGGACATGGAAAGATATGGAGATAGGCCAGACACAGAGGGACAGTGATATAAGGGACACAGAAAGATGGAGGTGAAGAGAGACATGGAGGAAATGGGGAGACAGACAGGAGGGCAGAGAGATGGGGCAGAGAAACATAAAGATGAATGTGGGAAGAGAGGAGGACATGGGAAAACAGGGATTGAATGAGGGCAGCGGAAGCAGAGAGAGAGAGACACTGGTCAGCCCCGGGGCCCTGGCAGGCTTCATGAAGAGTACCAGGCCTGAGTTGGAGCTCTGTCCCTGCTCTTCTGTGTGTCCCCCTTGTGCCCCAGCATGGTCCGGTCACAGTCTGCCAGGGCAGCCACACTGCAGTTCCAGCTGACTGCTACTGGCTGTCAATACGAACCCAGTGCTGCTACACCTGTTGAGCCTTCAGGAAAGACCAAAAATTATTTTAAAACACTGATGTTGAGGCCAGAAAAAGTCATATCCGTGAGGCATGACCAACCCCCTGGCTGTCAGGCTGAGACACCTTAGCTACACGCCTACTTGGGGTTGGGGGCTCCTTTTTTAAAAATTTTTACTTATTTATTTTTTTAAAAGATTTTATTTATTTGAGAGAGAGAGAGAGACAGAGTGAGAGAGAACATGAGAGGGGAGGTCAGAGGGAGAAGCAGACTCCCCATGGAGCTGGGAGCCCAATGTGGGACTCAATCCCAGGACTCCAGGATCCTGATCTGAGCCGAAGGCAATCGCTTAACCAACTGAGCCACCCAGGTGCCCCTCCTTTTTTATAGACTCTTTTCTAAGATTTTATTTATTTGAGAGGCAGAGAGAGCGAGAGAGAGAGAACATGAGTGGGGTGAGGGGCAAAGGGAGAAGCAGGGTCTCTACTGAGCAGGGAACCCAGTGAGGGGCTCAATCCTGGGACTCCAGGATCAATACCTGAGCTGAAGGCAGATGCTTAACCCACTGAGCCACCCAGCAACCCTGGGGCGGGGGTTCCTTTCTGAAACCCCTTCTCACTTCTCTTGTCCAGCCAGGGCTGAGAGCCCTGGAACCTCCAACTTGGCCATAGGGTTTTTAGCAAGGAAAAGGCCTAGTCAAACTGATTCTTCAAGAGAGGATACCCTCCTCCAATACTCAGTAGTAAAAGCAGGAACATAAAGGCCTTTAGATGGGGCCGGGGCGACTCTGGTAGAAAAGCTGCAACCTCAAACTCAAGCTCTGTTTGGGGCCCGGCAGGGAGCTCTCCAATAGGAGGGCACTGGCCTGCTGTGGAGTCAGACCCCTGGCTTGAATCCTGGTTGTGCATCTTTGTGGCTGCCTGACTTCGGGCAAGTTACTGTAGCGTCCTAGTGCCTGTTTTTCCATCTGAAAAATGGGGACCACAGTTGCATGAAGGTCATAGTGAGTTTTCAGTAAGTTATTAACAATGTCTGGCAGAGAGAAAGGGCTCCTTAAATATTATTAAGAAACAGAGCAGCCATTACCCTGCTCTGACCAACAGTTGGTAGGTGTTACCAGATTGACTTTTCTCAATAAAAGCCAGACACTTGGAAACATGAGTGAAGTGTTCTGACTTTTAAATACCGGTCTCTGGTTTAAAGGAAAAGACACAGGCTACGGGGGCCGGGTGGCCACACTCACGGGGCTCGGGGGGCCCTCCTGGCACAGCTGCTGCGCCAGCTGTTCTAAGGCCCGCAGCCGCAGCTCATGCTGCTCCTGACGCCGCTGCAGGCTCCGAACCCGCTGCCGCAGCGCTCCCAGGACAGCGTCCAGCCTGGCCAGCGGGTGCTGGGCCTGGACTCCAGGCTGCAGCCTCGCAGGAGCAGGAGGGGGTGGCAGGGGGGTCAGGAACACGGTGGTCGCGGCCTCAGGGCCTCCAGATGCTGACCCCAGTACCACAAGGGGCACAGGGCCTGGGGCCGAGACAGAGACAGCAGGACCAGGGGACAGGGGCGTGCCCTGTGGGGAGGGAGGCACGACTGGCTTCTCAGTGCTGCGGGAACTCTGTTGCCTCTGGAAGACAAGGCATGGGATGGGGGGCATCAGGGCCAGACTCCAAGGGGTACTGCCCTTGGGTGAGGCCAGACCCCCAAGGAGGAACTTCCCTCAGGGATGAGGATCAGGTGGCAGGGCGGAGTCAAGAGACTCAGGAGAGGAGGGCTGGGGATCAGACTTCATGGATTAGTTCCAGGTGGGGAAGACATGCTCAAACTCCAGCAGTGGGACCTCCTTTCACTCACCTTAGCAGGGGGTGCTGGGGAGAAAATGGACGGCACTGCATCGGGCCGCAGGTAGCGCACACCCCAGCGCCACTGGAAGCAGGAAGGCGTGAAATGCTCACTGCACAGGTGCTGGTGGCAGCTGGGCTCCCAGTCCTCGTGGCCCATGTGCCGCAGCCAGGCCTGCAGCCGGGGGCCATCCTTCAGGGGGAACCTGCCAGAGGGGTGGGGTCAGAGGGTCAGCCATATCAGGTGCAGTCCCAGCCCTCTCTGAGGCCATGCACACCCAGATCCCTGGGCTCCACACCTCGGTCTTCCTAGGCTGGGAGCTGGCCCTGCCTCCTACCCAGGCTTGCTCTACCACCCACCCGCATCCCCTTCTTCAACTCCACCTTTGCAACACTCAACATCAGCCCACCTCTCCCACCTCTGCTGCCCCTCCCATCCAGCCTCCATCCTCTCCTGGCTGGAGTTTTGCAGTGGCCTCCTTCCTGATCTCCATCTGTAGCCACAATCTGTTCCTCCACATAGGCCTGAGAGAGCAGTTTCCGAAACCGGACAAATCTAGAATGTGTCTACATTCATGCAGGCAGGGTGGCATGAGAGATGAAGAGAGATTTAAGAAACATCCATTTGCAGGCTGTGGACCTTGTCTGCAACAAATCATTCCATAAAAAGACAGTTTAACACAGCTGGGGAAAATTGAGCATGAATTGGGTATTCGATAGTGCTAAGAAATTAATTTTGCTATGTATGATAATTGCATTGGTTTATGCTTCTAAAACAGTCCTCTGTTGGAAAAACATTTTGAAATATTTATAGGTAAAAGAACTAACATCTGGGACTTATTTTAAAATCACGCATTAAACGTTTAAATGGGTGAGGGTAGATGGAAAAGATTAGCAAAATGTTGACAACTGGTAAATCTGACTGACAGATGCATGAGAATCCGTCATATAACTCTATTTTTTGTGTATGCTTGAAAACACCTGTTAAAAGGTTTTTAAACAACCCCACAACAAAAATTAACCCTATTAAAAATGGGCAAAGGACTTGAACAGATAGCTCTCCAAAGAAAATATACAGATGGCCAACAAGCATATGAAAAGATGCTCAATATCATCAATCATTAGGGAAATACAAATCAAAACCATCAGATAGCGCCTCATAACCACTAGAACAGCTATTATAAAATGCAAAACAGGGGCGCCTGGGTGGCTCAGTGGGTTAAAGCCTCTGCCTTCGGCTCGGGTCGTGATTTCAGGGTCCTGGGATCGAGCCCTGCATCTGGCTCTCCGCTGGCAGGGAGCTGCTTCCCTCTGTCTCTCTGCCTGCCTCTCTGCCTACATGTGATCGCTGTCAAATGGATAAATAATCTTATAAAAAAATAAAAATAAAAATAAAAATAAATAAAAAATAAAATGCAAAACAGGGGTGCCCGGTTGGCTCAGTCAGTTAAGCATCTTCAGCTCGGATTATGATCTCCAGGTCCTGGGCTCGAGCCTGGCATCTGGCTCCATACTCAGTGGGGAGTCTGCTTGTCCCTCTAACTCGCTCGTGCTTACATCCTTGTGCACGCGTGCTTTCTCTCGCTCTAATAAATAAATATATAAATAAAATCTTTAAAAAAATAAAAATTGAGGGGCTCCTGGGTGGTGTAGTCGATTAAGTGTCTGACTCTAGGTCTCTGCTCAGGTCATGATCTCAGGGTCTTAAGGTCAAGCCCCATGTCAGGCTCTGAGCTCAGCGAGAAGTCAGCTGAAAGCTTCTCTCTCCCTCTCCCTCTGTCCCTCCCTGCACCCGTGCATGTGTGAGCATGCTCGCTTTAAAATAAATAAACAAATCTTAAAAAAGTTTAAAAAATGAAAATTAAAACAAAACAAGTGTTGGTGAGGATGTGCAGAAACTGGAACCCTGTGTGCTGTCGGTGGGAAATATAATATGGAGCAGCCGTTGCAGAAAATAGTAAGGCACCTATTCAAGAACATCACAAATAGAATTACCGTATAAGGGGCGCCTGGGTGGCTCAGTGGGTTAAAGCCTCTGCCTTCAGCTCAGGTCAAGATCCCAGGGTCCTGGGGCGCCTGGGTGGCTCAGTGGGTTAGGCCGCTGCCTTCAGCTCAGGTCATGGTCTTGGGGTCCTGGGATCGAGCCCCGCATCGGGCTCTCTGCTCAGCGGGGAGCCTGCTTCCTCCTCTCTCTCTGCCTGCCTCTCTGCCTGCTTGTGATCTCTCTCTGTAAAATAAATAAATAAAATCTTTAAAAAAAAAAAAAAAAAGATCCCAGCGTCCTGGGATCGAGCCCCGAGTCAGGCTCTCTGCTCCACAGGGAGCCTGCCTCCCTCCCTTCCTCTCTCTCTGCCTGCTTCTCTGCCTGCTTATGATTTCTGTCAAATAAATAAATAAATAAAATCTTAAAAAAAAAAATTACTGCATGAGCCAGCAATTCTGCTTCTAGATTCAGATCTAAAAGAATCGTTAAGTGGGGTCTCAAAGAGATATTTGCACATTCATGTTCATAACAGCATTATTCACAATAGCCAAAAGCTAGAAGAAACCCAATATCCATCCATGGATGGATGGATAAAGAGAATGCGGTATACGCATACAACAGAGTATTACTGAGTCTCCCAAAGGAAATACTAACACATGCTATAATATGGTGAACCTTGAGGACATAATGGTAAGTGAAATAAGCCAGTCATACACAAAAAATACATGAGGTAGCTAGAGTAGTTCAGTTCATTGGTTTCCAGAGGTTGGGGGTCGGGGGGGGGCAGGAAATTGAGACTTGTTGCTGAATGGGTATGGAGTTTCAGTTTTGCAAGATGACAAAGTTCTGAAGACTGGTTGCACAATAATGTGAACATCCTTTTTTTTTTTTTTTTTTAATTTACTTGACAGAGAGAGATCATAGGTAGGCAGAGAGACAGGCAGAGAGAGAGGAGGAAGCAGGCTCCCTGCCAAGCAGAGAGCCTGATGTGGGGCTCGATCCCAAGACCCTGGGATCATGACCCGAGCAGAAGGCAGAGGCCCCAACCCACTGAGCCACCCAGGCACCCTCCCCACTTTTTTAAAGATTTTATTTATTTGACAGAGAGAGTAAGAGAGGGAACATAAGCAAGTGGAGTGTGAGAGGGAGAAGCAGACTTCCTGATCAGCAGGGAGCCCATGTGGGGCTCGATCCCAAGACCCCAGGATCATGCACTGAGCCAAAGGCAGACACTTAATGACTGAGCCACCCAGGAGCCCCAATAATGTGAACATCCTGAATATTACTGAACTGTATATTCAAAAATGGTTAAGATGGTAGATTTTATATGTATTTTACAATCTAAAAAAAATTAAAAATTAAAGTTAAAAAAAAATGAACTAAATAAAAGCTTTCCCTGGGAGAGTAGGTGGGGACTCTCTGAGATTCAAGACTGTCTACAATGAAGATCTCATTTTCCAGCTTCATCTGCAGTCAGGAGTGGCCACATTACTGAGTTCTGGCCAGTCTGTCCTATGGCAGTTGTGAGAACCTGTGACACATTAAATGTTTATTTTAAGCAGTTAAATTTTGAGACAGTTTTTGTTATATGGCATTAGATAACTAATATAGTCGGTCATCCACATTCCACCTGCACTATACATTCTACATCTGTCACATCATTTTCTTAATATTTTTCTTAAAACTGACCAACTTTAAAAATGAAACAAGGGGCGCCTGGGTGGTTTAGTGGGTTAAGCTTCTGCCTTCAGCTCAGGTCATGATCTCAGGGTCCTGGGATCGAGCCCCGCATCGCGGGCTCTCTGCTCAGCAGGAAGCCTGCTTCCCTCTCTCTCTCTGCCTGCCTACTTGTGATCTTTCTATCAAATAAATAAATAAAATCTTTAAAAAAAATGAAACAAAAACACCTGAAAGAGAAACTTTATACCACAACTGAAAATAGAAGAACAAGTATCAATTCCATGAACAGAAGCTGACCAGTAAGACAGCTGGATACCGTCATCTGCCTGGACATCACACAGCCCTAAAACAGAGTGTGGAGGTATTCTATGCACTGACATGCTATTGGCAGCCATAGACATTCCAGGAAAAAACCAAAGTTCCAACAGAGTATATCCACTTTTAGTAATTGTGGGAGGCTCGGTAACAGCCCTCAAAAGATAAGCATGTCCTAATCCCTAGAACCTGTGACTACTAGGTTGCAGGACAAAAATGTGACTCAGTAAAGGATCCTGAGATGAGGAAGTCATCCTAGATCGTTCCCTGGGCCCTACATGCAATCGCAAGGATCCTTGTAAGGGGGTAGGTGGCGAGTGGATGTTACAACAGATGAAAGAGAAGGTGATGTGACCAAAAAGGCAGAGGCTGGAGTGACGTGGCCACCAGAAATCAGAAGAGGCAAGAAATGGACTCTCCCCTATAGCCGGCATCTCTGGGAGTGCCACTCTGCGAACACCTTGATTCTGCCCAGTAAAACTAACTTGCACTTCTGGTCTCCAGAAGTGTGAGAGGATAATTTCTGCTGTTTTAAGCCATCAAGTTTGTTTCAGTATCCACAGGAAATGAATACAGTAATAAGGGGGAAATTAGGACATGTATTCATGTTGCTTGTATTTGCATAAGGAAATTGGAAAAGACACATGAGAAAGGAGGTGAGCAGGATAACAGAGATGGGCCTGGGAGCAATTCCCAGCCAAAAGGCCAAGGGCCCGGGCAGGTGGGGGTGGGGGTGGGGTACAGCTGGTGAAAGAGGACAGAAGGGCTGACTCAGAATCTGAGCTGTGGCACCCAAAGAGTAGAACCCCAGGGCACCCAGCCAGGAAGTCTGGCTGCCGCAGTCCCTTTTGCCTCTGTTTGAGATTCAAATCCTCATCAACCCCATTCTGCCTGGACACACACAAGAAATCTCTTGCAGCAGCATTCCCCACCCCCTCCTCTTTGGCAGAGACTGACAAGTGACTACTCCATACCTCCTTTTCTTCTTCCTTACTAACAAAAAACTCCAACTTTAGTTGAGGTCAGCATGTGCTGTGCTGAAAGACTGTTTCCCAGATTCCTCTGTGTAGGTGGGGCCATGTAACCAAGTTCTGGCCAGTGAATGCTTTCGTGTTGTGTGAGAAATCTGGGATAGTACCTTAAAGGTGAAGGGGTTCTCAAATGGACCAGGGCAGCTTAAAGGGCAAAGGAGGAGAGTATCATGAAAATCCTCTTCTTCACTTGGGTCTTTTTCTTATTCTCCTTTGTTCCTTTGGATGGCAACACTTTTATAATGGGTTCTCTAAAAATCTACTTTAGGGGTACCTGGGTGGCTCAGTCAGTTAAGCGTCTGCCTTCAGCTCAGGGCATGATCCCAGAGTCCTGGGATTAAGCCCCTCATCAGGCTCCCTGCTCAGTGGGGAGCCTGCTTCTCCCTCTCCCTTTGCTGCTCCTCCTGCCTATGCTCTCTTGCTCTGTCAAATAAATAAATAAAATCTTTTTAAAAAATAAAAATTAGGGGCACCTGGGTGGCTCAGTGGGTTAAAGCCTCTGCATTCAGTTCAGGTCATGGTCCCAGGGTTCTGGGATCGAGCCCCGCATCAGGCTCTCTGCTCAGCGGGACGCCTGCTTCTCCCTCTCTCTCTGCCTGCCTCTCTGCCTACTTGTGATCTCTGTCTGTCAAATAAATAAATAAAATCTTTAAAAATAAATAAATACAAATAAAAATTAAAAAAATCAAAACCTACTTTAAGTGGACAGTGTCCTCCTTTTTTATAGAATAGTGTAGTCTTGTTGGTCATCTTTCTAGATCATTTAGTGACATACACTGCTAAAAGTTCTTCTTTTCCAAAAAAAAGTTATTTTCCTCCTTACTAACAGTCAATTCAAAATGTCTTCAGAGTGCAGCTAAATTACTACATTTCCCCGTCTCCTTTGCAGTTGTGGGTGAGTAATGATGAAGAACTCACCACTGGGTGGGGTTCCTGGGAAGGCTGGATGAAGGGGCCTAACTCTGTATACAGTTGGAGCCTCTTTTGCTCTTCGTTCCTTCTCTTTCCTTCTTACCAGGAATGGTAGGTTATGATGGCTGGGCCACCTGGCAGCCATCTTGCATGGCAGCTGCGTGCCAACGATGACAGCACAGAAAGATAGGAACCTCAGCCCTAATCACTGTGGACCTGCCACACCAGTGCTGGTCTGTCAACCTCTGCATTTGTTTTATTTGAGAGAAAAGTAAACCCTTGGTGGATTCTAGTATCGTTCAAAGTATTTGCTGCCCTTCCCCACATGAAGAGTACGTATCTCTACCGCACTCACCTGAGGCTTGCCATAGACTTACTTTGGCCAAGGACTGAAAGTGACATGGGCCACTTCTCAATATAGCATTTATGACGAGCCATTGGGTGACTCTTCCTACTTTCTCTTTCCCTCCTCCTACAAGACCAGCAATATTCCATGTAGGGGAGGTTCCTTTGGCCTGAGTCCTAGGTTAGCATATTATACAGTAGGTCCACACGTGGTCTGCAAAGGACAGAGTATGAATAAGAAATAAATATCTGTTGCAGCAAGAGATTTTGTGTGTGTTATTGCGTCTGTATAACTTAACCATGCGTATCCTATAACCTCCATAATTTTTTTGAGCCAATACTATTTCAGGACTTTCTTACTGTCACCCAAATGCAATTCCCAACTCACAGGTTTCCCATTAGAGAGGGCTCTCATATGTCCCAAAAGGGCTGAAGACAGAACTAATGAAAGGTTCCTCTGGCCGCCTGGCAGGCTCCCATGTTATTCTCTGGCAGCCACTTCCCTCGCCAGGTTTCACCTTGTTCCTTCCTGCCATCCATGCCTTCTCCTGAATCTCCTTTGGTAACAGCTCCTCATCAATCTCTTATTGACCATGTGGCTTCTGCAAGACTGATTTGGGGATAAGCCTTGAGGTGGAAATGGGTTAGCCTGTGTGAGGGACAGCCTGGCAGCCATGGGTGGGATTTAAACAACATAGACGTGAACTGATTTTTATAAAGTCATCTGGCTGCTCTGTACAACTGTCATTGTTCTCCTCGTTACTGTATGTGAAGCACTTATAACAGTGCCTGGCATACAATAGATGATCTCTAAGTAAGCTGTTATTGGTGTCCTTCTAAGGGACGCAGAAGTGTAGGCAAGGAGGCCAGAAGCAGCTATCACCACCATGTCTCATTAACAGAGGATGGTGGCCTGAACGATACTGTGAGAGCAGAGGTAATGAGAAGGGGTCAGGCTGAAAATGTAGAGGTTTTCTGTTATTTCCTAACAGTTTACTTAGGATTTTTCCATTTGCATTTATAACTGTGTTGACACAGCATGAGGGGTTTTGCTGTGATTGTTGCAGGGGATGTGTTTGGAGGGTAAAGTCCAAAGATGGGTTGATGGACTGGACGGGGACAACATGCTGAAGAAAGGATCGGGAGTGACTCCCAGGTTGTATGTCCAGTTCTTTAATGTTCCTTCACCTATCCATGAGCTCTGTCCGGACAGGAACAAGATTTGTCAGGGTCCTCTGGGTCCTCTGGGTCCAGCAGGGGCTTCCTTACTCCAGGAGACACTCGGAGTTGCTGAATTAATAGAGTGCCAGAGGTGACCTATGTAAAAAAGTAAATCTGGACACACTAATCTGAGTTTAAAGACTCCTCTGCATCACTCCTACTCTGCATCAGGGTCCCTCAAGGGACATGGGCTGCTGGGGTTCCTGGGAGAGGGCATCTGGAAGGCATTAATGAAATTCATCCAACAAATATTTACTGAGCACCCACTATGTGTCAGGCCCTGTTTGAGGGCTGGGAAAATAACAGAGAACAAGACGGAAAAAAATCTCTGCCTTCATGGAGCTGACGTTCTAGGGGGCATGCGGAGAGAATAAATGAATACATCAAATATGTGATATGCCAGATAATGATAAGCATTAAAAAGAAAAATAAAGTGGGAGAGGGTTATCATTTTACACAGAGTGGTGACCATAAAGGTAAGACCTTTCCACGTAGAGGGAAAAGCACAAAGTCCTTGAGGCAACAACGTGCCTGACATGTTAGGGGTACACGGAGTTGCCAGTGACACTAGAGCATAGGGGTAAGGTGTAGGAGGAAGGAAATGAGGTCATACAGATATTGGGGATCCAGATCCTGTAGGGCTTTGTAGGGCTTTCTGTCTGCTTCAGTCTCATCTTTTTGTCTTTTATAGAGTGAAGTGGGACCCAGGGGAGGATCTGTTGGGTTTTTTGTTGTTGTTGTTGTTTTTAATTTACTTGACAGAGAGAGAGAGATCACAAGTAAGCAGAGAGGCAGGCAGAGAGAGAGGGGGAAGTAGGCTCCCTGCTGAGCAGAGAGCTTGATGTGGGGCTCGACCCCAGGACCCTGAGACCATGACCTGAGACAAAGGCAGAGGCTTAAACCACTGAGCCACCCAGGCACCCCACCCAGGCGAGGATGTGAACAGAGGGGGACTCTGATTTGACTCAGGGATACACAGGTTCCCTGTGATTGCATTTGGGGATGAGTGTGTGGGAGTGGGTTGACCAATAAGGAGGCTACTAAAATAGTGCAGTCAGGTGGTAGTGGTAAGGGCCAGAACCAGAATGCAGGCAGAGAAGAGGGTCAGAAGTGGTCAATTCCTGATGTATTTTAAAGGGAGAGCCAGCAGGATCTGCTGATGGTCTGGATGAGGAACATTTAGACTAAACACATTTAGACTAAGGCCACAGGGACAAACCTGTAGTCCAACAGAGTCAGGTTTATTTACCATGACAATGAGGGAAACTGCACACCAGAAGTATGAGAAGTCTCACTCAACAAAGGAAAAGACAGGTTTATTATTTGGATTTGAGAGAAAGGTGAATTTTAGGTGAAATGTAAATGAAACCGGATAGGCTTAAAGCAAAGGAGAACTGTGTGGATAGATACTAGGTCAGGATTGTGAAGTGAGTCCAGGGTCCTGCCTCCTTGAAAGCAATAAAGTTTAGGAAGATGTGGAAAACTGTGTCCAGAAGTGCCTTTCCTGAAGCTCTGCACCTGGATAGAAGCAACTGAGGTTGCTTCTCAGTGTCAAAGTGACAACAACTCCAGGCATTGAGATGTTTCATTTTTATTGATATAATCCCAAATGGCGAAGTTTATGGCAGCCTATGATTTTAGAGAACAAATTTTCCTACTAAAAAAGCAGCAGTCACTCAAAGAAGGGGAATTGTTTTCACTTACATCCGCATGTCCCTGAGAAAAATACAGAAATGTTTTTCCTATTCAGCCGGATTTTCCTGTGTTTTTTATTCTAGCCGGGGTATAAGAAATGGGAAGACAGATTTTTTTTTCTTTTTTTACAGTTCAAGCTAATTTTTACTTTCTCGAGTGTGAGGAAAGAAAAGAGGTAGGGATGACTCTAAGGTTGCCAGCCTGAACAACAGGAAAGATGGAGTAAGCTCTTAACTAAGAAAGGTTGTGGAAGGTTTGGGAGGGAGACAAGATCAGGAGTTTCGGATGTTTTGCGTTTGAGATACCTCAAATTCGCGGACATTACGAGCGGGAAGTTTTAGCCTCCCTCCACAGTCCTACTTCTCACGCTCGCACCTGTAATTAATAGTTTATCCCTGCGCTTTAATACATCTGCACCCTTGTATGTGCTCTGTTTAGTGCTGAGAATACCGACTCTTCACTTTGCTACTAGCCCTGCTTCTAGACACCTGCAAGATGGATCAGCGCCCGGCACAGCCGCAGTTACCCTCGGGCCCCGCCCCGCGCTTGCGCTCACTTGTAGAAGCTCACAGGACGGTTGTCAGCGCCCAGTCGGCCCGCAGTGTTGGAGCAGTTCGGAGCCCGGCAGTACTTGGGCATGGCTACTCGACCCGGTTAAGTCCTGCCCAGGCTGCAGTCGTGTTTTGGTCCTCTCCGGGTACCGCCGAACCCCTCCCCGCCCGCTCTCCGCCTGCCTCACGTGACAGCCCCTGGTGCCACGTCACGTGCAGGGGACTAGAGCGCCTGCGCGTTACGCGCCCAGCAGAGTTACCACAGTGACGCTCTGGTCACGTGCCAGATGAGGGCTAGGCGAGGCCTTCGGCGCAAAGCCTGCTCTTAGCCACCGGGCCCTTACCACATGTTGAGGGAGAGGTGGAGTCACGGCTTTTTTGAGCCTGCGCCAAGTGGTCCACTTTCAGCTCCACCCCTACGCTTACATCCGGGCGACTGCCCCTGTATGGGTGGTTGCTTGGGGATGGGGAGTGTAGCAAAAAGCGAACTGGAGGCGGTGGTTTTAGCTACGCAAAAGTTAAAACCTAAATGTTTGTTAATGATAAAAACACCACATAAACGCCACTTCTCTTGATCAGGCATCCTGTAAACTAGCTACGGCTCCACCCTGCCATATACTTTGCTCCACCTCCAAGCCCTCATTGGTCAAAACCGCCTCCCGGCCGCCCTGACATTGGCCAGACCCGGGCCTGCCGCGTCCAATGGGCGGCGGCGCCGGCTTTCCCGCGGCCGTTTGCTCTTCGAGTGGGTCGTGGAGGCGGCGGCGGCGGTTGAGGGGTTGAAGAGCGTAACGGTCGCCCGGCTCCGGTAAGACGATGGCGGCCTTGGGGCCCGGAGGCTACGCGCGGAACGATGCAGTCGAGAAGCTGCCACCCGTGGCGGTCGGAGTTCCGCCGAGGAGGGGCCAGTGCTCTCCACCCCCCGCTCCGCCGCTCTGTCTCCGGCGGCGGACACGACTCTCGGCGGCGCCGGAGGACACGGTGCAGAGTCGGGTGAGGAGCTGTTTGTCCTGCCCACCCCAGTTCCAGGGTCCAGAGGCCTCCCCTGATCCCGGCCTTAGACCGTTGGCCCCGCCCTATCAGCCCTCAGCTCGTCCCCTCGGGCTCCTCTCCTGCCCTCTCGGTCTCCTAGGTCCCGCCCCGTTATCCTGGGCTCCTCCCACTCTCCCGTCTCCTCCTACTCTCCCGTCTCCTACTCTCTCCCCGGTGCTGCCACCCTTCCTAGCCCGTTTCTCCCTTCCCCAGGAGTGTATTTTAATTCTAATCACCATCTACTCCCTCCTTCCTGCGTATCCCTTCAGTCACCTTTAGATGTCTCTCTGGGCCCTTCCATTTTTGTTGACCTCGCCCTTCGCTGGATCTTTAGTGTCCCTACCATGTTTAGTCCAGATACCTACCTACCTCGTCTGTCGCTCAGCTGACTCCACCTTCTCTCCCCACCTGCCTTCTCTTTCCTTTTCCTTTTCCTTTTCCTTTTCCAGTGTGGAATTTTTATTACACATTGCCACCCCCAAATTATAGAGACCCATGTGAGTAATTGCAAAATCTCACCAGCGGCTCCCTGTTGCGGTGTGGCGGGGGTGGGGGGTGGTGGTGGCGTACAGAACAATTCCCTAACTCCTTAGAGAAACAAAAAGATTTTAAAGTAGGTAGAAGGAATGCCATTAGCACAGCAGCGATTTAAAAAACTGTTCTAAACTTTCTGACCTACAAAGTCTGTTTTTATAAAATAGAAGCAACAGTAACCATACCATGGAGTTGCAGGGAGCAGAAATGAAATTGTGACTATGACCTGCTTGGCAGAGGCCAGGTAGAGGATGGAAACATGGTAGATGCTGGTGGATCTTGTTCCTGCCACAAGGATTTCTGCTGCACTATGATTATATCACCGATATTGGCTGCAAGGCCTGGGCACATGGCCCCTGTCCATCTCTCTGGCCCTACCTCCACTGTCCTCCCTTTTATCAACATTCAGTCACCCTAGCCTGCTTTCTGTTTTCCTGAGGCTAAAAGCTCTTTTCCACTTCCTAAGCATTTGCCAAGTCCTCTTGGTTTTTTGCAGCAGTCCACCTGGCTGGCTCCTCATCCCTCAAGTCTCAGCCTGAATATCCCTACCCTGGAAGGCCTTCTTGAACCCCAGCCTAAGACAGACACCTACTTTAGTCTTTTACCTAACATCCTGTATCTTGTATGTTCCTGAAAGTGCCTCATGAGCTCTAAACTGTGTATAAAATAGAGGAATAGCAATAGTAGTTTCAGAGAAGCGGTAAGCAATGGGGTTAAGCAGCTTCTGGACCCAGACTGCCTGGGCTTAAACCTTAATTATGTTCTTTTTTCTTAAGATTTTATTTATTTATTTATTTTGAGAAAGAGAGAGAGAGCAAGCATGAGCTGGGGGCTGTGGGGTCCTGGGATCGAGCCCTGTCTGCTCAAAGTGGAGCCTGTTTCTCCCTCTCCCTCTGCCTGCCACTCTGCCTACTTATGATCCCTCTCTCTTTCTCTGTCAAATAAATATATAAAATCTTCTTTAAAAATGACCATTATAGGGGCACCTGAGTGGCTCAGTTGGTTAAGCGGCTGCCTTTGGCTCAGGTCATGATCCCACAGTCCTGGGATCGAGCCCTTCGTTGGGCTCCTTCCTCACTGGGGAAACTGCTTCTCCCTCTCCCTCGGCCTGCTGCTCCACCTGCTTGTGCTCTTTCTCTCTCTACCTCTGTCAAATAAATAAATAAATGAAATAAAAATAAATTTAAAAATTTTAAATGACTATTATATTTTATTAATATCCAGTAATGCTGATCGACAGATATAAAAATGTTGTGAGTATCATTGCCAGATTGCTTGGGTTAGAGTCCTGGTGCTGCTCCTTCCTGGATGGGTGACCTCTCTGAGCCTCTTTATATCCTCATCTGTAAGATGGAGACGGTGATGATGATGATGGCCACACCACAGGGTTATAAGTCAGTTCAGCTATAGGTTTTTAACCAGTTCCTGGCTCCTGGTAATTGCTCAAGAAGCCTGAGCTCTTATTATCCTCTGTTTGCCTCTCATTTTTTTTTTTTTTTTAAGATTTTACTTATTTGACAGAGAGAGACACAGCGAGAGAGGGAACACAAGCGGGGAGTGGAGTGGGAGAGCTCTGCGGGAAGCCCGATGCAGGGCTCCATCCCAGGACCCTGGGATCGTGATCTGAGCTGAAGGTAGATGCTTAACTGACTGAGCCACCCAGATGCCCAATGGCATCTTATTCCAGAGACTAGCTGGGTTTGTAGCCCAACCAGGCAAACTGGGCACCTGGGTGGCTCAGTTGTTAATCCATTCTTGTTTCCTGCTGTCTCTCCTGCAGGGCCTGGGATACTGACTTTGGAGCCAGAGACTAGCTGGGTTTTAGCCCAACCTTGCCACTCCACAGGTGTGGGATTTTGAGACTCAGCGACCTCATCTATGGAAATTGTGCCTTCTTCCTTGGGTTGTTGTGGGGTTTTAAATCTTTCATCCATATAAAATTCTTAGAAACTTACTCAGAGGTCATCTTTTCAGTGAGGCCTTCTCTCCTTCCCTGCTTTATTTTTCTTTTTGCTCCTATCATCACCTACATCTATTTTACATATTTATTCTGTTTTTTTATGTCCTCCATCCCACCACCACAAGAATGTGAGTTCCAGGAGGACAGGGATTTTGTTTGTCTTCCTCACCATTCTGTGTCCTTCAGAGACATGTTGAGAAGAACAAATGTTAGCTGTTGGTAGCATGACTAGAAGTTCAGTTAGTGTTGGAGGTCACAGGGACTAAATGGGTGACTGAGGCACTGGTGCCATGAAAGACCTTCTGGGACATGTCGTCCTGACTTGGACTTTTTTCCCACAGGTGTCACTTGAGAAGGTACTTGGCATCACAGCCCAGAACAGCAGTGGCCTAACCTGTGATCCCAGCACCGGCCATGTGGCCTACCTAGCAGGGTGAGTGAATGGGTGGGCTTTGGCTTTGCCATCTGTAGACTGCAGATAAGCTGCCCACCCCTGAGGGCTGTGGAGAGGATCCCATGGGCCCATCTGTGTCTAGAGCGGTATCTGGCGTGTGGTGAGCACGATGAAAGCCTTATTGTGACTGCAGGTGGGAGGTGGCAGCAGTTCTGGGAAAGACCCAAGCCGTGGGGTCAGCAGCCTGGATTTGTGTCCCAGCTCCACCACGAGCTTTTCTGTGAGCACCTCCTTTTTCATCCGCAAAACAGACCTAGTGACATCCTCCTCTTGGGTAGTAGAGAGGACTGAAAAATATCCTCCTAACTGTTCATTCCACAAATACTGATCTAGCCTGGCCCTGTTCTAGGTACTGAAGGGACCCCTCCATGCCTATAGGGCAGGCGAGACCTGTAGTCATTCCTGAGGAACTGTACCTGTTATTCAGTCTTTGGGATGCAATCCAGGGGTGGGCTCTTGAATCTGACAGTGTGTGGATTCATATCCCCACTCTGTCCCTGACCTGCTGGGTGGCCCGGGACAAAGGATTTTCCCTCTCTGGGCCTCAAGTTTCCTCATCTCTGAAAGGGGACTAAGATGTCCAACTTCCCCTGGGAGTTGTGAGGATTTAAAAAGATTGAGCACATAGGTCTTTACCAGCCCAGGGTCTGACAGAATAGTTACCACAGAGAAAGTGTTGGTTTCTGTTTCCAAATATATCATTTAATAACGTGCAGCACCGTAGCATTCTCAGCATAGATCCTTGGAGGGGGATGAGAGACTCTTCTGTTCAGAGGGAGCCTTATCTATGTGTGGGCTCTTCCGCTGGGAATGGAATCATCCCTGGACCCTAGCACTTCCTTTAGTTAAGGCACATTTCGCTCTTTCTCCCCAGCTGTGTGGTGGTGATTTTGAATCCCAGGGAGAACAAGCAGCAGCACATTTTTAACATTGCCAGGTAGGCTGGTCCCTGGGCATTGGGTGGGGGTGGGTCCTGGCACCTACCCACTTCCCCACATTGCTCGGAAGCTCGTGGGTGGGTGACTAACTCATTCGCTCACCGGTCGGTTCAGCTACATTCTGCTGCTTTGTGCGAGGTAGCGTTCCAGGTGCTGAGGACAGTGAGAGTCTCGGCTCTTGCAGAGCTGACAGCTCAGCAGGGGAGACACTACACCAGTGGGCAAATTAATAGCCAA